TGCACACCTAGCTAACCTGTGATGGCCTTCAAGCTGTTATGAACATTGAAGTAGCAGTTTGGGAGGTGCTACCATAGGTTCACAAGAAGTGCATCAAGTAAAGCCACCTTTCTTTCTGCTTCAGCCATGCTGTCTGGGAGGTTAAGCAGATTTGCGAAGAAACTATTCCGAAGGGAGTAGCAATAGGAGCAAGCAGAAGTCATCCAAAACAAGTGTTGCCACAATACTCCTCAAAATGGCTAAATACAGTATTTTAAAAACGACACTGTGACAGGTTGGCAATACAAAAAGGTAGAGTTAAAGAAAGCATCAATCTACTGTCATGCCTATTGCATTTATGGGAAGTGAGGGACACTTTCTTTTTGAACAACTGTGATAGGAATGAAGTGGTTTGTCCCAAGAATTGCCTATTTAGGGTACTGACAGGAAGAGTTAACTATACTTGAGGGAACATACAGGTGGATTTCAAATGCCTACACTGCAATGCTTTTCCTCAACTTCTTCATTGCAAAAGGGATGTGTGTTATCAGCTCTACCACATCTGTACGTTATCTAGAAGGTGGCCAAGATCCTCTCTCTCTTTCTTGGCCTGTTTTGAGGAAACAAAGTCCACTCATCTCATCAACCACACTGACAGTAAGTAATACTAATAAATTACAATTTTTAGCAACCTGGACAGTTTAGAAAGTTCACAAAATAGCAGTACATTAAAAAATCAGATTATTTTACTACATCTTGCGGTTGCAGAGCAATTTCAAGCTTCGATTAATAACTGAGCTGCCTTTTAGTGAGGGTGGGGAGAGGAAGAGTTACCTCTCTGTCACTGTTTTTGTGCTGCTCTTCCCTTTAGTTCTCTTCTTTAAGAATATTTTCTTCTTTTAGAAGCTACCTCCATATTCTTAGCTGCAACTTGAAAACTTCTGCTAAAAAGCGCTCTCTATTTTGGACTAGGAATTCTATCCTATAATTTACATGATATTAATCTAGCATTGGTGGGTGGCAAAAGAGAGGTAAAATAAAGTATAGATAATTCATTTAATATACATATCAACTGTCATGAATAACCCAAACATACCGTACCAGTTACAAAAGCATTGTCCACAGTTTTGACACTAGGAAAACTATAGCTTCACATACCCTTTTCTACTTTGCGTCTTCCTGTTCCTAGCTTTTGAGGTCGAGTCCCTCTGTTTCCTTGACATTTACGCTCTTCACATTCTTCTAAAACACTTTTATGGAGATGAATTTCCTCAAAATTTAGAGTCATTTTCCTTTTCTAAAACCCCTCCAAATATGGAAAATTTTTTCCTGATTTTTAGGAGCTCTGATCTAGGGTTTTTTGCTGCAACGATTTCTTTGAAATTCATTATTTTCTAAATATAGATGTTATGAGGTAAGAAAGGATATATGCCACATGGAACAGCAAACCATAGCAAAATGGCCCCAATTTATGACATTAGAGACAGACAACTTTCACATTTTTATCAGCTGAGAAATTTAAATAAAGAATTTATTTGGCTGCTCTGAACAATGGATTTGAAATTTGCTTAGAAAAAATGATGGCAAAACCTCATAATCCATCAATGTTTTACCACAAGCTTAGTTCTATTACATTTTAGTCAAAGTTCAAAGTTGTCTAAAGAAACCAATCTCTTCTTTCTCCAACCCTAAAAGTGTCACTTGAGAGTTCAACTTCCAATAGAAGCAGTATCTAACACACAACTAATTTTAGAATATAAAGTGCTCCTCACCATATTGGAATACATATAATTTAAAATAACTGTAAACCTAAACTCTGCAAAAACAGAAAATTCAAGTACTAACAAAAAAGCATAATTTGTAATTGAAAGAAAATAATATTTAAAAGGAAAAAAAAAACTTTTTTGTCCTTCCAAAAAGAGACAGAAATTACTAAGTTTTATTTCCCAAGAGAATTGTGCCACTTTCATAAAGAAAATTACAGTCACCACAAATTGCTCTCAACAATTCCATAGCTTCTTCATTTGACCACTTGAAAATCAAAGTTCTTTAAGATTATAAATATAACTTTTTATAACTCTGTTATTACGTACTGTGAATGGGGAAAAGGGGCCAATCTTGTGGCCGTAGCGTCGAATGGCCTCTCTGATGTGGCTGGGCTGGATGGCATCGCTTTGAGCCTCGATACCACAGGCTGCAGTGCTCTGCAACAGAAAAACACATAAATTGTTACTAAATCAAAAACACATAACAGACCTACAGTGCATAAAGAATGAAAATAAACCTTTATAAAATGGACCAATTTTTTTTCCCGAGGATACACATCATTGCTGCCACACACTACATTAGAGAAAAAAGCTATTAACAAATCAAAGAGGACTTTTACATGAACTTTGCTTAAGAGACCCAAAGAACACTGTCCTCTTAGATCTTTCACCTACTGCTGCTGTATGTTGCAATTGAAAAGAGCAGCAAATGCTCAAAATAAAATGAAAGGGTCATATAAGTCATACTGCAATAACCGCAGAAACTATTTTTAAAATATTTGAGGCTTTCATCATGATGTCAAGGGGTGGGGAAAATATCGAACAAGTATCCAAAGCGGAAAGCAATTTGACATCAAAATCACAACTGAATAATATTAGATTGAAATTTGAAAATAAAATGTGACATTACAGTGTTAAGAGAGATGAAAAAACACTTTAATATCTCAAAATGGGATGTTTTCAAATTTCAAATCAATTTTTTGGACTCTAAATCGAAAAAAAAGACTTCACCACTACCGATCCACTGATTTTACAAAATTATCCCCCGGACTTCAGAAGCAAAAGTCACTTTTTTTGCTAGTTGAACAGTAATGTTGGTTTAGACCTCATCTAGACATTCAAGATAGCTGCTTGCCAGAATTCAGACAACTTACTAGTGATGGCTGTGTGGTAATACATTCATGAAAATGGTGTTGGTGAAGAATGACAAAAACTTACCAAATGGTGCTGGTACTAAGAATGACAAAAACTTACTTTGTACACTGAAATTTACTGTAAACATATGCACAGATCCCTTACATTTTCAGTACATAGCAATGTTTTCAAACTCGGGCATTGAAAAAAAAAGGTTTTATTTCCAAGAGTGCTGAGTCGACTGAGGTCTGTGTGCACACATAGAGATTATTCGTAGTATGATGGCAGATTCTTCCCCTGCTGACTGACATTCGTAAAGAGAATGAGAAATTCAAATATTTTCTGCTGGACTGGGCGTTAATAATAACACTCACCAAGTAACAATTTTTCTTAATGCCTCAGCTATATCTATGCCTATTTAAACTGAATAACTGACGGGAATATTTATTAAAACTGCGTACTTTTGAGAAGATAATTTTTTTAAAGGCATTAAGTTAAATACCAGGCATCTAAAATAAACTCACCAAACTAGTGACATACACAATGTATCAAAAATTACATCTCTAGCTAAATCCATGTGCCTAAGAGTGACAATGGAAGTCATCCACGGCAACTGAACATCATCAGATTGAATATAAAAAAGGAAGTGGAAAAAGCAGTCCAGAAGTCTTAAGAATGGTTTTAGGAAGACTAAAGGCTTTTAAAATGGAGTATAAGAAGGGCAGAGAGAAAGCTGAATTTACTGGGAGCATCTGCAGCCCTCATGACTCTACAAGGAGAAAATACACCTTTTTCTAACAGTCACTGTGAAAATTACCAGTTAAAACTCTGTGAAAAATGAGTACTGGTTGTAGGAGAATAACACACATGAGAGGATCACAAATCACTCCACTGCTCGACTTCAAACTGAGTACTGCCACCACGTTTTTTCAAAAAAGTCCTAAGTGACTAACACAGAACATCCTAACCAGTTTATTTAATCAAATCTATTTCCCCTTGGGTTTAAGGTACAGATATCCCCCTCACCTAGAATACCAAGGATCTACCACAGAAGATAGGAATCGTAATATTTACACTTCATGTACTAAACAGGAGATGTCCATACCTTATTCAAAGTTCAACAAGTATTTCAACTGAATGGAACCAACTGGCACAAAAATAAAGCAGGTCAAGCAAAGTTGTTATAGGCAAAAAAGGCAGTTGCCTAATACTGCTGGGAGCAGGAAATCACAACTACCTCTTTGCCTACTTTGCTTACGCTTTGACCCTAGAAACAGGCACTAGCTGCTCCTGTCAAGGAAGAGGTTGATTACATGGAGCAGTGTCCACTCCTGGGGCTCTACAGGAGCCGTTCGCCTTGCAAGCAGCAGTTGTTACTCTGGCTCTGCTCCTCTCCCCTCTCCTTCTCACGACAGGCATAAGCCCAGCTGTTTTTGCATCAAAAAAATTCATTTGCACTATTACTGAGAAGTCTTTAATTTATTTCTGACAGAAGGAATACTAAATACACATCCACCTCTACCATAACATTGGCATGTAGCATACGATATATTTTAAAATTAACGAGAATCGACATTTAAAATGAGACACGTCATTACTTCCTAAAGATACGCTGATTTCTATTTCAGGCTTGCGCATCAAATACCTTTTTTCTTTTTCTTTGTTTGGATTTAGTAGAGTCCTGCCCAATTCCACCATTTCCCAGGGCTCCTGCCTGGCTTTTCCCAAGGTGTTGCTGTCCTGCTGATGCTGGGGGTGTGGGTGTAGGAGGTGGTGTGTTCTCAGGAGAGTCAAGACTGGCCTTCACACTTGTGGCCTGCCCTAAGAGATGGGGCTGTCAAAACAAAATGTCAAACAGCCATTAGAAAATCATAGCACAAAAAAAAAAAATATTGCCTTCTTAGTTTTAGTATTAGAAGACGTGTAATGCAACGTTAAGTTTGCTCATTCCACCGGTTACTGTAATATCTGTATCACAGCAACACACGCACGCATTATAGCACCTATAGTACTTGCTACTGCTGACAAGTATCTCTGTGAACTTGAATTTCCAATTCTGTAATAGAAAGAGATTTCAATACAAAGAGAGGGAATTTCCACCCAAGCAGAGAGCGTTTACATTCAAATATAAAGATGCTGCTAAGAATTCAACATTTGGAGTCATAATTTAATGTCTTTCATTTTACGTCCATAACTCCACTGTTAATAAACTCCATAACAGGAGGCCAAGTCAGTACTTACCAGGTTTCAATAGGCATCTACTTGGACTCCAAATAATCACCACATACTTGTAGTAGTAAAACATAAAATACATACACTCCATGCAATAATAGTTATACTGACACGTGAGGAAACAACACTTACCTCAGTAGAGTTGTGATACTGTATGAAGGTAGCAGATATGGCATGACTGAACGGGTCACCAGCTTTGGGAGCCATGTCCTGTTTAACCAAAAGGGCCAAGTCCACCAACTGCAAAGGCAAAACAAGCAGTAAAGAGGCAGCCTTACTGACATGGTATGTGCTGTGAATGCCATCATAAGAAAGCAGGGAGATGACTTGTGGGTTGAGGCAGATTCTTAATGATTCTCAGTAGAAATTAAAGTTACTCTGAGATATTTTAGCCTAAGGAACCTTTCTTTTCCACTTCTGCAAATATATGGAGTAATTTATCTACTCAAAAGGGCACAACATGGCACTAAGCGTTCTGTTTCTAAATGGAGTATAAGAAGGGCAGAGAGAAAGCTGAATTCACTGGGAGCATCTAAATATTTTGCTTTTCCTGGAAATCCTGCTTTTTAATCCAATTGTGCAATCGGGTTGAATGACCCTCAGCACGCTGCCAAGGATCACATAGCGAAGTATGCGGTTCCAGTCTGGACTTGAACAAAGTTCGTGCTGGACTCCGCTCTCCTTTGTAAGTAATATAAAACATTGCTATTTGTGTATCAGTGATGAATGTGTGGTATAGTGCACATCTGTGACATAGTAAATTGAAAGAGATAGGAATCCAATTAACTGGGTTAGCAGACGGACTTACTGTATGCTTCTAAGGGGAGGTTACGACATAGTCGGAACTGAAGTGCATCCAAGAGTAACTAATTAATTTTGTTTAAGCAGAACTCAGTCAGTATAGTGTACTCCCTTACCTGTGCCACAGTCTCATATGCTAAATATGCCAAAATCTCCATTGCAACTGCGTTTGGCTTTATTTCCATGCTGCTACAATCCAACCAGTCACGAAACTTGGATGCTTTCTTTGCTGTCAGTTCAAATCATATGGGAAAAATGAAAAGTTAACAACAGGTAATAGTATGTTTTTCTACTTTTCAAAGTATTGCAAATGTGAAACAGAAAGTGTGAACGTGCTTTGATCAGCCAGGGACTGAATTCAAGGTTTAACAAAATGGAACTAGTCAGTAAAGATGATTACTTCTCGCACCACATTTTGGAAACCCATAAACAACATGGAGGAAATGGGAAAACATACATATAGTTAAATCAATCATACAGGAGATTTCAGAACGAGGAAGGATCTGCTGCGGGGACGGACAGGAGATACCTGACTTTAAATGCATTACGGTAAAAGAAATAATACGATGGCATCACAGCTTTGATGAATGAGTGAAAAAGCACTAGAAGAAATCAACACAAATCTGAGGTTCTGGGTCCAGATAAAATGGTAAAATTGTGTTAATGACAGCAAAGACAAATGGAGAAGGACAGAAGAAGAACTAGCAAGCCCTGTGTTAATTATGTGGGACTAGCTGCTGACAAGCTAGCCAAAATGATTTGTAGAGGAGTGTTTTTTGAATGTGCTTTGGATATAAAGAAAGAAGGATGGATGCAGATCTGCACATGATCAACATTCAGATAAGAACTTCATACTGCAAATGCACGAAATAACTTAAGAAAAAGGTACAGAGAAAAAAATATGGGACAAAGAAATATATGGGACTTGCAGAGGGAGTAAAAGGAGGAATCAGAGATACCAAAATGGAACTGAAGAAACGTCATGGAAGTTCAAAGGAGAACCAAAGAAAGGAATAGCACACAAATGGAGTAGGCACAGATACTTAAGTCAGTGGCACAGAAGTTGATCACGCAAAGCTGTGGAGACTTGGACAGAAACGAGCTAGTAATATAGAGCTCTTAACGAGGGCTGTTTATGAAGACAGGACAATTAAAATGAAGTAAATACAAGTTGGGAGAATCATTTGAAACAGCAAAGAGACCAATGAGGAGTAAAAAGCTGAAGAGAAACTGAGTTTTTAACAGAAAATCAGACATCAACAATGGTTATTTTTAGGAAGGAGTGAGAAGGCTACATTGGTTCACCGAAGACAAGAAATCAAAGCAAGACGAAAGCCTGAAGGTGATAGAAGGGCTGCAATATTTTCCCTAATGTTTAATCATATAGTCCTATAGTACCTGGTCCTTGGGTAATGGATTTTTTCTTTTGGCTGTCTTTAAAACTGTACAGAAATTCATGGTGCTGTAATTATGACCATAAAGTTAGAACAGACCTCTTGAGGTCCATTCCAAGCCTACTCTCTTGTGACTCATTTTTTATGGGTTTATATTACAGTAACACGGGTTTATTACTTATAAATATCAATTAATTTAATTTCTGCTAAAATAAAAGAAAATAAGCAAAATCAACCTTTGTGTTAATCTTGAATGAATGTTCTGCATGGTTTTTAGTATGTGCTATCTAGTTCAGTTCATACATCATAAGTAAATTTTGGCATGAGTCTCTTTTTCTAATAGTTTCAAAGCACTATAATTCTCTTGACACTTTTACTCTTCCATGGCATTAAATGTCAGTGAAAGAGAATTGTACAGACACGATTTTTCAAAAACACTGGGAAAATATCACCTAGATTGTTTTATAGATCACAATCCCCTGGTCAGCAACATTCAATTTGATTTTATAAATTTAACATTTATATTTTTTCTGTCTCCAGATGATAATTTGGGGGTTTAAAAATGACTTTGTCACAAGCCTCTCATTTGCTGAAGTCACCCTAATCTGAAGTATCATTTATCTAACGGTTCACAGATGCGTGATGCCAAATTATAACTAAGCTTACAAAACATATTGAACAAAGAAAGGAAATGCTTACAAAACATGTTTGCCTATATCTACTGACATTTGCTGATAGAGAAGAGTATTTCGAATGTGTCATTTATTTGTCATAAATGACTCACTTCTTCTAATTTAAATGTCCTGCTAGGAAGAACAAGATAAGGTCTCTCATTTAAAGGCATTATTGTGTTCAAGTCTGTGCTGTAGGATCATGTGCTGTTTTGTCATGCTTTTTACTGGCTCCTTCACCCCACTTTCTCTGACATTTGACCTAAAACCTTAGTCATCACTTAACTGCTTCTGTAATGATGTTTTGCTACATGATCAAGCCCATTAATTTACAGCTCATTATAGTTGCGGCCCACAAGTACTTCTAAAAAGTTGGTTTTCAGTGCTAGTAAAGCCCTAATTCTGTCATCATGTTATTAGTGTTGGAATGGTGTATACTGATGAATTTGGCTAATGTTGAATAAATTCCACAGCAGGAGCTTACAGCTTAAAATAGAAAAGACTCTTTAGTAACTTCTTTGTGTCTCTGTGGATGCAGGAATAAAAGCAAAACTTGCTGCTCTTCTCTAATTTTAGACATATTCCAAAGAACCTGTAACCGTGAAATTTATTAATGTGTTGACTATAACAACACCGGGATGGACTTCAGGCAGGTATGGTTGCTTTAGTACATTAACTCTTTAAAAAAGTCCCATCCACATACGTCTACCCTTCACAGCACTCCTCAGCAGCACAGTAATTGAGCACACAGAAAGCTTAGTAAGTATTCAGCAACAGCCTGAAACTACACTAAACTAACTTTTCCCAGGAATTATTAGGACAAAGAATTTAAAGTTTTATTATTGTGGGTGAAATAAAAGTGCTTTCAATAGACTTGAGGTTCTGCTACGTTCTCTGTTACATGAAATAATAACTGAACATCTTTAATACAGTGCAGCCATTATAATACTTACAAAAACTCAATTGCCGACTTTCACAAAATTCTGCATACTGGACTGAGTCCATCATTCGTGTTTGTCTTTCTGCTCTCTGACAAAAGAGTAGAAGTACATGATGTACCTTATTTCAACAAGAACTGCATTCCACAACAGAAATTATAGCAGCAAAGCGCCAGTGCCATAACCCCGAAGGAACTCCCCCAAGTTAACTATGCATTGAATAAGCTAAGATGCAGAAATATAAAACAGAGGTTGATTATGAGTCTCGTGAGTTGAATTTTCCCGAGGAGCATCCAAAAATCTGCTTTCACATTGCTTGCCTATGGCACAGAAGCGAGGGCTCAACTAGGAGCTCAGCTAGGGCTGAGCGCTCTTGCCCCAATCTCTTTAAACACGGAGGTGCGCGTGTAAACTGAAGCATGTGAGCAGTCCGCCAACATGTTTACAGATGACCAGACAAGTAAAATGCTTTCCTGGACTGAGGCCAACATCTTCTGCACTGAAATGAACCTTCATGCCTTTAAAATGGGAGTGTTATCGGTACCAAAATAACTAAGTGACATCACCCTGAGGATGTACCAGACGGAGAAGAGCATTGAAGTGGCCCTTCCCACACAGACATTCAATAAACAGTAATAACAAAGTGGTAAATGTGTCTCTTTTATCATTTTTCACTGTTAATCTATGCTTGATTTTTTTTTTTGTAGGCTTCTGAACACCTACACAGCTGGAGTAGAAAGAAAATTAGATGTCAAATTAGTGCTTCAGAAAAATGGCTTAAAATATTTACTACTGGATTATAGACTGTATTTCATGCAGATATGGTCAAGTGTAAAGCAAAAGCTTACATCTCAAAAGAGTCAAGGTACTAAACCATACACGTTACGCACAACTTCCCCTCAATTATGTAATAAGCCATAATTGAACTTTGACTGGAGATGCACTGAAATACATGCCTGAGTACATGCCTGTGTTTTGTTTACTTCAGTAGAGCAGAACTGATTTGCACAAGCTAAGGATTTAGTCTCTAAAAAGACTAAATTCCTCATATACTGGAGGCAGGGGATGACAGTCAGATTAAAGAGAGTGATTATCCGATTCAGAAGCAGATAGCAGTTTACTCAAGTCTCCCACACAAGTAAAGTATAGTATTTGAAACATCAAGGAAAGGAACATAACTTTCTTTCAAACAATAGCCTAATGAATGAAAAAAAAAAAATCACTAAACCTAGTAAGAACAGAGCTATAACTAAGGACATAAACTGATATCACCGGTGGCTGATTGCACCGGGACCCACATGTCTGCAGTCCATGCCTTTAGCCCAAGATGCCGCGCACCGAGAAGGTGAAGTGAGTGAGTTTGTCCCGAAAACCAAACCCAAGTCCAAACCCTTTGCTCTGCATCCCCAGACACTTTTCCATCTGACGAAACTGAAATTTAATCTGGTTTGGTGGAAAATAAAATGGCTGTTGATGACAGTATTTTAAAACAGGATACAAACCAGCACCTGGCTGTAGCAGTTTCCCAAATTAGAAAGAAAAAAAAAATCAGTCCTTCAAATACAGTTTCTTCTTCTATTCTGTGTCTTTTAGGTCATTTTTCTAAGACAATCCACTAGCTATGAGATTTTCTTGGTGGACAACACAATCCATTTAGTTGTGATTTGAACCAACAACTCTCCAGGAAAATATCTCAATATTCCTTCTTTCTTTTCATCTCTACCCATTCAGTCATTTTATCCTGAAGCCAATATTTCTATTGTATTTGGACTCTTAGTTACTAGGGTAGAAACTCTTCTGCTGAAACATTTCTCAGTTCTTTTTCTCTACATTCCTCTACTTTCTTCTGGCATCTTGCTTACATTTTGTGGGACTGATAAGTAAAACTTTTCAGTCAATATATTCCATCAAGGCATTAAATGAGTTTAAATTTATTTTGTATCTTTTAAAGAATAACTGTCACAATACATGCTATAACTTCAATTCTCATCTAGCATAACCGTAACAGAGATCTGTTTTGCCTCTGAATTAATTCAGTCATAGTTTTCAAGACCAGAAGGCACCACCAGGATCATCTAATCTCATCTCCTGCATAGCACAGGACACTTCTCACATAATATATCCTAGAATTTGCAGTCCTAGAATTTTCTGCATAATTATATTATAAGTTTCAGAAAGACATCTAATTTTGATTTAAATATTTCACATATTAAGAGATAAATTCTTAAAATAATGTAAAATGCTAACTTATGGTTTAAACTCTGTGATCATTTGCGTCTTCGCTTGCTAATCAAAAACTACTAGTTGGGTATTTCTAGCTAACGATCAAATAACAATTTAACTTTTGTTGGATAATCAAATAGATTGAGCTTTTCTAAATGCTGAAATATTCCACATGGAAATGTGCATAAACTCCCAAAAGTGTTGCTTGAAAGGGAAGTCTGGAGGTTTCTAGCTTAAAGCAGACTAGTAAGCCATGGCTTTGTCCAGCTATGTCTTGAAAACATCCAAGGACAGAGATTTCACATTTCCTCTCAGTAACCTGCTCCAGTGATGCACTAGTGAAAAAGCTTTTTAATGTCCTATTTGAACCTCTCAAGCGACAATTTGTGGCTGCTAACCCTTCTTATTCCATCTAGCATTACTACGAAGAGTTTGGCTCTTTGTAATTGTCCTTCAAGCAGTTATAGGCTGCTATCTCACTACCCTTCAGCCTCCTCCTCTTCAAACTAAGTCCAGCTCTCTCAGCCTCTTCTCACAGCCACATTCTCCAGGCTACTAACCTCTCAGTTGCTTTCAGCTCTACATTTCCACTTTCTCAGCATCCCCTTGCAACTGAGGGAGCCAAGACTGGATGTCGTATTCCAGACATGGCCTCATCAGCACCAGGCGGAAGAGAATAGCAATTTCCTTCAGTCTGCCAGCCACGTTTCTGCTAATGTAGCCCACTGTGAGTTTTGTTTTATCCGCGATGAGAAGATACTTTTGGCTTCCAATCATCCTGATGTTCATTATCACCCCCCCACAGGTTCTTTCCAGAAGAGCTGCTACCCAGCCAGCTGGTACCTAGCCTGTACTGATGCATGGGGTTACTCTGTCCCAGAGGCAGAAACTTAATGCAATTTCTGTTGGCCCAGCTCTCAAGGTCATGGAGACCTATGTGGGTTAAAGCTCTGTGATCCAGCGTGCCAACCACGCCTATGTCCTCCTACCTGAGCTGAAAAAGTAATCCAGAAATTTGACAAGGGTATTTTAACATAAAATTACAGGCATCCTGTAACACAAGATGGCAATTGCAAGAATAGACAATCCCAGGAGCAGTTAGTTAAATTAAATGGTTTATCAATGACTACTTCCAGCAAATAACAGAGAAAACTGATAGTCTTTCCTAAAATGGCTACTGTCAAAGGCCAGCCAATATGACTCACAATAGACAACGGCTGTCAAAACGTTGCAAGTTTCTTAACAGAGTGAAACAAATAAAACTGTTCTAAGGAATATGAAAAAGCAGCAGAAGTACAATTTTTCCAATAGGTATTTCATTTCTTTCTACAAATTGCCTACAATAGTTGCCTGAAGTGCTAAAGACTGGACTTAATTTTGTTCTGACGTATTAAATAAACGCTCATAACTATTTTTCTTTGTGTGAATAGTTTGTATGTAGTGAAATTACCTACATATCTGTGAAACAAAATCGCTTCCTCCCTTCAATTTGCCTCCCTATAAGAAGTCCTTCTAAAAGGTGGACTCTAGAATGGTATTTTATTTAAAATATCTCCAAATAAAATATATTTTATCATAAATAACCAAACTATATTTTCACCCCAACACATTCCAACAAAAAAACACGCCATGGTAAGTAAGCACACAGCTCAAGGCATATGGATAGCCATTCCATCAGTCCTTCCACTTTTAGAATAATCTATAAATAAACAGAAAATGTAGAATAAATAGATAGATAGGTGTATCATCTTTAAGGAAATAGCGAAGTAGAAGACAATAGCAGATCATCTTTCCTCTGCACTTCTCAAGGTTATAAACCTTAATTATTTTCTCTTATATCAATTCTGCTGTGGAAAAATTGAATGTACCATTATCTCTACATTTATAACCAATCAATAATACAGGGTAAAAAGGGAAAGAAAAAAGTAGTGTTACTCCAGGACAAAAGAATTTAAAGGAAACAGCACTCAATGTTGTGCAAGTCACAGAAAGTTTGTGAAAATGCTATCACTCATAAATAATGCTTACTATTACATCCATGCAATACTCACTCACTCTTTTTCACCATCTTTATTTTCAAACTAATTTTTCTTGAAAACAAGAAATGATACAGGACAGATTAAATAAAAGTAATAAATGTAACTAATAACGTTTAAATTTATACAAATGGTTTTTTTTTTTAAAGTCTCTTCTTGGAAGGAGTAGCAAGTTACTCCAACAGAACTGAACTCCTCTTTCATTGGTATAAAAGTAAATTTGCTGGGAATCTTTTCTACATGAAGAAATCATGAATCCCTATTGACATACCACCTTGAAGCACTCTCAGGTTCAAGCATTTTGTTTTTAGTTTTGAAATCAGACGTAATAAGTGACATGAGTGACACTGCCCTACCGGGTTATCAAAATCAGTAAATATACATAATTCTGACTTCCTTTATAGTAGTGCTAGCCACTCCAAGCAGTTAAGAAGTTGAGTTATGTGGCATTCAGCAGAGCTAAAACACTCCGTGTGCTTTCCTTGGAGCATGCTGAAGGATGCAGTAGATAGGAGCTGGCACAGTAAACGTATGCTTAGTCTTCCAAAAATGTGTTGCCTTATATCTTTCTTTCAGCATGAAGAACTGAAGAGGAAGACTGACAAGGTCAAGCAAAGAAAAGGTAGAGAGCTGTATGTTGTCACCTACCATCTAGGCTGAAATATGATCCTATTTTGATTCTATTTTAAAGTTTTCACACTTGACATATAAAGCTCTTTGTGTGCGGGGAGGGCAAGAGGCCAAACGTTAACTTGCTTACCAGCTATTTAGTGTTTGAAGGAAATGTGCCGAGTAGCTGCTAAGCTGGAAGGTTTGAAAAATGTAGGCAGCA